ATGGGGGCATGCTCTACAGCCAAGAGATCTTGTTTTGCGTCAGCGACGACGCGAGTGTGACCGTAAGTCCAGTGATATATAGCTTTATCACCAGGCATTCCGAACCTGTCTATCGCTATGAGGTTTGCTGTACGAGCGGCTACAGGTATATTGAAAATCGGGAAGTTAAAGGCTGCCTGCGCAAGGTCAATGCGGACTAGGGCACAGCTGAACTCGTAGTCAAGTGCCCCTCCGACCATCACATTCTGTGGTTGGGGCACAAATGGCACGTTTCCCTCGCTGGCAGCTTCGAAGATCGGACACGATCCCGTAGCTGTCTCTTATACACATCTAGATGTGTATAAGAGGCACCAGCATCGTCATGCGGTGCCACGACGCCTGCACTTAGCATTGTAATGCTGTGCCACGATGCTACAAGACTGGCGGTAGCTGGAGCTCTCATAATCAGTAGCGAATCTTCAGCCCTCAATATGCAAGCTATTGGATTTTTCCGAATAATTATATTATTTTAGAGTAATTTTGAGTTTTAATATTTGCTTTGTATCCATAATATCAAATGTTTGTACATTTATCACTTACAAAGTTAAACCTTAAGAAACGGCTTTATGAAACCTTCATTCTGCTTTACGATGAATTGTCAGACGGCCATGTTTACGCGCCACCTCAATAATAATATATTTCTATCTGAGGACGGGCATTCGTTGAATAAGTGCGTGAGGTGTTAAAATTCATTTAATTGTTTAAACCTTTATTGTAATTACGCTTGTCGACAGTCACTTATTAGTAGGCGAAGTCGTCTGCCTACTGCTTTATCTTAAGGGTGATGAACTAGACTTACGACTGTGCGGATCAGATCCTGAAACCATTTGCTTTATTCGCGAAATCTTTTTGTCTTTTTCTGATTTTGTGTTTGTGCGAATGTGTTTTCCTTTTATTAAGTTACTAAATTGCATGTTTGCGCCCCTGTGTTCGCTCGTCACAATTTGCTTATTGGCTATGAGCCTTCTTTGAACCCTTAGGGTTTGGCTCCGTGGAGCTTTTGAACTTAATTCTTCAGGCCCATTGTGGGATTTAACTTGCATGCTTGCATGCATTTAACTTAACTTCACCCTTATTACCTTAACTTGTGAGCGAACACTCCTTACCCTATTTTCACTTTTTTCACTTCCTATTGTTCTCAAACAAGAGAACTCTTACTATGGTTGCCACCCGTGGTAACAAATAGGTATGTATTAATAAATTCATTCATGATTGTAATTGCTAAAACCGTTATTAGCTGCTATATTAGCTAGACTTTATTCGGTATATTGTACTAAGTCAACCGTTCATATTCACCAGATAAGAATCTCCGCACCTCAGCTTACCGATTGGACTTGAAAACCTGCTACTTGTTCTTTTTTCCATAACCGGATCTAAATAACGTTGTCCTTTAACGTCGCTTTCGCGGTAAGACTTGAGAGAGCATCAATCTCGCATTAGTGACTCATTCCAATTGCAAGCTAATATTGTTTTATATGCC